TAACAATGTTTAAGTAAAAAAAATGAAAAGGAAAAAGGGGGGTGATGGGAGTTTCAGATTGAACAAGATTCTCACATTTCATCCAACACATTTAATCCTGACTAGCGTGTACCAAAATGCAAATGAGATTCCTATACTATGAAACTTCCACTACAGACTGCGGTACACACCTGTGTTCCACGCCCACCTCCAACCCCCTAATGCTTCCAGCACAACTATTTCCCGGCCTGTTGGGCCTGCCAACAAAGGGGCACGTAGATCTTCTTCTCATAATCCAGTTTTTGCTATAGGGCTGGTATGTCTGGGCATCAGCTCAGTGAACAGGGCAGCTGAGGTCTGCCAGATGACTAGAATCAAACAACTGGCTGATATCATACATGAGAGAGGGGCTGTTGCGATTCGTTCTCTTCAGATGTTCTTCATTCATTTTACAAATGCCTTCGGTGCACTCACTCGCTGATTCAGTCAGCCTGGGTTCTGCCTTCCGGCCTCTTGATCAGCTACACCAGTAAAATGGTGTGAGGCATCACAATGAATTCCTTTCTGTAGCTGCTGCCGACACCACCACCTCGCGTGACCTTAGCCACAACCAAGTTAACATTTTAATTAAAGCAAAGTCATGACTTGAAATTCATGCAACTGAAATATATTTTATGAATTTAATTAATTTCCTACAGTATATCATACAGATGGTCATAGTGCTCAAATTGTAAAATGCCAAAAAGCAATTTTTCACGGAGGAGCAGAACCAGTTATAAAGTGACCAATTCTTGGCAATTCAGTTTGTACTTAATAAGCGTCTTCTGTGTGTTGGGCACAGTGCCTGGCATCGTGAAGGTAAGGCAAGTGGCTCACGAAGGGCGCTCATGGTGGCTCTTCCACCCCAAAGCGCACGGTCATATGGGTAAGGCAGCTCATACACAGAAGGAAGATTAAATAGCAGAACCTGGCAGGATGTGGAAAGAGATGTATTCTTTGCTTTAGACTGAAACAAAAGCACGGGCTTTGAATTTAGATTGGTTTCACATCTCAGTCTTGCACTTATTAGCCGTGTGAACATATCGACATACTTAACCTTCCTGATGCTCAGTTCCCATGTCTGTAAAATGAGTATAATTCCTACTCAACCTAAGTAGGTAACTGTGGGGCTCCAGTGAGTAACGGATTTGACAGTGCCTGGGGACGATAAAGAATTCGCCGTGGCGGGTGTGGCTCAGTTGGTTGCAATGTTGGCCTGTACACTGAAAGGCTCGGGTTCAATTCCCAGTCAGGGCATACACCTAGGATGTGGGTCGGATCCCCATTTGGGACATGTATAAACGATGGATGTTTCTCCCTCTCCTTTCTTTTCCAACGTGAGTAAACATTAAAAAAAAAGATTGTAAAGAATTCTGTGAGTACAGGGATTTTGCTGCAGAGTCTGTTTTTCAAGGCCCACTTCCCACTTGAAGAACGTGTGTAGCCTAAATGTATAGCAAGCCTTTCTTTGTGTAGTAATTTTTTTCTCCCATTAAACACTTCTGGGTTCTTGGTCATTCTTTGGTAAACCACTTCCTTTTGTCGAAATCTTGAACTAGTTTAGATGTAGAAACTGGCTGTTAGGGCAGTGGTGAATAAGCCAGTTTATTAAAATCATCCTCTGATCTTCAGAGAATGGTGGTCTCTTCTGGTTCTTTGTCTTAGATTGCAACTCCCAGTTGTAGAAACTCATCCTTGAATACTTTGAATCGACCACATCTTGCTGTTCTGTAATTCTAGCTTGCAAAATAAGCTCTCCTAAATATATCATCTGATGACTACTCCAGCTTGCTATGCTTTCAATTTCTCACATCTTGGGTTATTTGAAGACGTTTATATTTACCTAATCCCCCAAGTAGCCCCAAGGGAAGGCAGGCGGCCTCTGGGCTCCATGCATGCTGTCTGCACTCGCTGGCCAGAAGGGACAAGATTCACTTCCCTTTGTTTTTCACAAAAATCACCGACATTTTTGACGCAACCACACATCCCTTTCTTTGTTATACTCTTATTTGAATTGTTGCTGCATTGATACCCCAATACCGAGTTTGTTATTTCACTCTATGTTCTTTTTTTCCTCTACTCATTGGAAAGTCTGATACCTTGCCTTTTTCTTTTATCCCTTAGAAAAAGTAAAAGCTACTATCAACTCATCTTCAGGTTCTAGGACTGTATATTTAATTAGTACCATTGGTATCATTTCACATGGAGGAGGAAAGGTGTGATTATGAAATTGTAGTATATGTTTAAAAGCAAAGTTATACTTTTTATCTTTTTTCCTATGCTTAAAGTAATGCATTTTGTACTTCAGAGCTAAAATGTACCTTCCTCTCCTAAAATCTTGGATACAAACCCTGCTCCTTACTTTTTTTTCCAGGATACTTTGCAGCCAAAGCAGAGGTTGGATTGGCCAGCAAAGGTTAGGAAGCCTTTGTTGTTGAAGGAAGATCTTGATGGAAGGACTGAAGCTTTAACTATGCTGTTATGTCTGATCCATCCCCTTTAATTTTTCCTCTTTTCTCCTCTTCTGACTTCTAATGCTCTTCAAATGCCTTCTCCCCTGGCCCTGTGGGATCTAGAACTCCAGCATGGTGCCCTTTGACCTCCCCGTGCTCTTCCCTGTCCTCCTGTCAGCTTCGGGTGAAGTAGTTTGGAGCTGGAGGGCTCTGTCTGAGCAGTCAGACAGCTCTGAGCACCCTGTTTTGTTGTGTTTGCACAAGCATCCTGTTGCAGAGTCTGGGAAGTGAGTCTGGTAACTGCCTGAGCTGAAACTTCCTCTTAACTCTCTACATCAAAGGGAAGTTACCTGATGCATATGCCAACTTTTAGGACTGAGGACAAAACACTGTGCTTTAAGAAGTTTCCATGAATAGGGAAAGGACCTCTGCTTCACCAGCTGCACCTGGTTACACAATTTAGCTTCGGTTTCCTCTTATATGACAAGGCAATGCTATGTCCCTTGTGTAATTGTTATGAGAAGGGCAATGGGATCATTTAACCGAAGGGCCAGGTGCTTGAGTGGCACTCACTAAGTGGTAGCCATTTTGCTGACGCAGAACATATTCTGTTTCCTACACGTACATGTTGTACATTTTACCTCCTGAAGTTTGTTTTTTAAGTTGCAATTATGTGACTCAAAATTGCAGCAGAGCCCCTATTGTCTGAGTAGGTGTTTCTCTCCGCCTTCCTCAGTGCAGTAACAGCTCCCCAGGGAGGAGGGGCTTGGTGGGCTCCTCAATGCGCTGTTGCGCCTGCCGCCTGCCGAGTAGAGAGGTGCAGAGAGCAGGGCCTAAGAGCTCAGGCTGGAGCTGGGCTGTCTGAGTGTGAGTGCTGCTGCTCCACTGCTAACTTCGCGACCGTGGATAAATTACTCAGCCTCTCTGGGCTCTAGTTTCCTCATCTGTAAGCTAGGGATCATAGTGTATAACTGCCTCAGAGAAAGGTGGTAAGAATTAAGAGAAAAAAATTCACAAATGTATGTAAAAGGCTTAGGATAGAACCTGGCTCAGCGTTTGATTTTATTATTGACAACACACATCAGACTGCCCACTGCACTGTGAGTGCTCCCTAAATGCAAGCTTGTCTATGAGCAGGCCGTAGAGACACCCCTCCCTCTACGGGGACCCCCAACAAAAGTGCGAACTACACATGCTGATAGGAGATAAAGAGTACGAAGTAGAATTTAGGTTTCTGTTTACGGGGGAGCCCTCTTGGAGGTGTGACGGCGTGCAGAGTCTCTCTCCGCATGGCGTGCCTCCATGCATTTCCTATAGACATACTTAATATTTTAGCCAAGACTGCCGCTGGCAAACGGGCCCTGGGACACACCGCAAGCTCAGCCAGGCCACACAGTCTCTCTTGCCAGAAAAGTTCTGTTTCTCCTACGCTAGCCCTTCAGTGGGTGAATTCCTACTCACCCTGTTAGTCTCAGCTGAGATGGAACTGTTTCCAGAAAGTTTTCACTGGACCCTCTCTGACCCTCCCAGTTGGCACCCCAGGGTTCCTGCCATATCCATTTTTGGCAGTCCATTCCATGGAGACAGGACTGTGTCCAGTGTGTTTAATGCTATATCTGTAACTCCTGGCCTCTGGCATAACAGATTCTAAAAATACGTTTCACAAATGATACATGGAACACTAGAAAGTGCTATGGGACGTAAGCAGTTTCTGAGAGTTGATATCCTGGCACTCATTAAGGTCACGGTGCTGGCAGGGCTGGGGGGAGGGGGAAATACATGAGGACATGCCTTTAATGGGAACATAATCACACTTTTACAAGTGTAAGAAAAACAAATAGGCATGCTCATAATGCCTGATTTAGAAAATAGTCCTGTTATAGTAGTGTTAACCCAATACTTCAGTGTTCAGTTTAGGGTGGGATTTGGGGATAGAATGAAGGGGACTGATTACATGTTGGACATTTTTTTCCTCAAAGCTGTCTTATGATAGCTGTTTCTTGCCTATTAATTGATGGTCTGGTATCTAAAGGAAACAAGCCCAGGAAGGCTATCCTGGCATATTTTTAGAAATACTTAAGTCAACTCTAACAACTCCTTGAGAATTATGGTAACATCCAGGATGTTTCGTATCTTCCCAGGAGTATGATATATTACTGCCTGCTGGGCGCAGTGTCTTTTAAGGAATTCTGCAGATCAAGTTCCAGGCCACGACTGGAGACTTATTATAAAACAGTCATCAGTCAGGTTGACACAACATGAAAAACATTTGTAAGTTTGCTAACAGCATTGCTCATAGGTCTGCACTCCAGAGTTCCCCTTTGCATCCTGGAGTTCCTTTCCAACAGGCCACCCCTCACAGTGTGCCTGCCACCCGACAGGGACATCCCGTCAGGTGGAGTGGTCTGCCTGGACGCTTTTCTACCTTTGGAAGAAAATTTAAAAAGGAAGAAAAAGAGAGAGTCTTTCTTGATCTCTGACTCTGGGTTCATAAAACTTTTTACATCTAAATGAATTTATATCTTGCAGATAAAATGTGAGCTGCAGGACAAAAAGGCCACGAATATCAAATGTGAAACACACCCGGTCCCTGGAGCCACTGTGAGGCCTTCTGTAAGTATATACAGTTTTATCATCTTAACGAGTAAAGTGGAATTTTGTCCTTACTAGTGAAATCCCTAATTCTTGTTTTTCTTTCTTAACTAGAGGAAACTAGAGAAAGAAAGACTATTTTTGCTTTGGGATGAGATCTGTTTTTGGCTTATTTGTTGATGTTGGGTCACGTTACAAGCCCCGGTGGGGAGAGGAAGGTCCTGCAGTCCACAGGCCCAGGCTTCCCCCCCGCCTCTGCTCGGACCAGACACATGCTCAGGCCCCTGACTTTCCGATGGGCAGTGTTCTCACCTGGAAAGCAGGATAACATATCTACATATCTACCTCACTTTGTTGATGCCAGCGTCCAGCACATACTGGGCAACAGGAATTTTAAAATCTGAACTTAGTTTGCTTCTTCTACATTCATTTTTATAGAAAGAAAACTGGGCTTGAGTCATAAAACCCAAGTCTTGGTCCTGCTGCTATTTAGTTTTGAACAAGTTAACTTAGAAACTAAACCTTAGCCCCAAAGGATTTGGGGGGGGGATCGTCTTGTCCAGTCCCCTGATTCACAAATGACAAAACTGAGGTCCAGAAAAATGAAGGGCTTTGCCGAAGGCCATGCAGCAAACTAGTGGTTGGACATTGACTGTAAACCAGGAATTGGGGTGCCGGCTGCACACATTACCAGCCATGCTGTCCTGCCTTTGGTAAAGACCTATGTAGATGTGTTATGATATAATCATCTTTTTTCAGTGTCACCTAATATGACATCCTGAGTGTCCATGAAAGCTGCTCTAGATCAAAAGAGAAAAATGGCAACCATGACTATCTAACCAAGAGAGAGTTATAGAACCGAGAACCTTAGGGTTCAGATACAAGCCAGAAAAGGATGCTCTGACAAGTAAGTATCAGCAAGGACTCACGCACCGACACACAGGGCCAGGGCTCCTGGTGCCCCCTCTTTCCCCCACCTCATAGCGCCATGTATTATGTGTTGTTGGAATCCTCCACAGTGGCTCGTACAGTGCTTCGTACCCCGTAAGGCCCTCTAGATACCTTGTAAATTATAGGGATGGTGAAAAACTACAACCAGGGTTTTTTGTATAGAGCACTGAGTGGCATTTCCAAACTGAACGTATTAATGTAATCAGCATCCTGATCCGGACACAGAACTTTATCTTCATTCCAGAGCATCCTGTGTGCCTCCAGCATGGGTTACCTCCATCTCACTTCTAAATGCATAGATTTGCTTTCTTCTGTTTTTGTACTTCAGGTATAAATGGAATAAAATGGTACATCCTCATTTGTGTCTCACTTGTTTTGGGGAATGTTTTGATGTTGGCTTAGATTCACAAGCAGAAGGATTTCAAATTGGGGGGTGCCCTAAATGAAGGAAAAAAGTCTTTTGCATACTGTAGTTTCATTTTTCATGAAAAACTGCTATTAGTATAGCAGTTGATTAGTAAGAGTGTGTAGGTGTAATTGAGTTGAAACATGTCCTTTATTGCCAAGATTTTTGTACCTTAAGTGATTCATTTTATATTAAATTGAAAAATTTACTTAGGCCAATTGATGTAAATATTACAAAACTGAGAAAAGTGGAAAATGAAATATGCTTAGCTTGAATTTACTCTTTAAAACAAATTTTTGGTTGTGTGGTATGTTCAGAAGAGAAGATGAATTTTCTAAGTCACTAATCCAAATAAATAGAAAATCTTGAATAAAGATTCCAGGTAACTCTGTTTTAGTTATCTTTATATTCCTACTTTCTAACAAAATGTCTAGCAATGTGTTAGGTATTCAATAAATGAAGTCTGCAAGGCTAAATGAGTACAGAAATGATTAAGCTAAAACAAGATGAGAAACCAAGTGTCACAAGCTTCTTATTCTGGAGAACATCTGAGTGAGGAGCAACAGTTGGTGTCTTAGCCTGTAGTCTAATGAATATGTACGGTTTTGCCTGCCGTCAGTTTCAATACCAGAAAAGAGAAACCACTTTATTTTCAACAGGAAGAGATTTAATACAGAGGATTAGGCACTTACAAAAGAATTAAAAGTGTCAAAGAAGCAGGTTTTAGGTGGTTTCAAAGTCATCCAGGAATGACCACAAAACTTCGCAAAACTGACTCACCAGGGAGTTACTACCTTTGTGGCCAGCATGTGAACTCTGCCAGGATCAAGGACTTATTGCTACTATTGTTGCTGCCACAGCCCCTGGAAACCAAGGCCTCTACAGAATGGGCCCTGGAAGGTGATGCCAAGGAGCCCTCACTTACTTTGATGTCAGGGTTCCACATAAGTTAAGCAGAAATATTTAAGAAGGGATAAAAAGGTTTGTCTGCCTCACCTCTGTTTTCTATATCTCCATGTCTCATTGTGTGTATACACCTTTTAGAACCCAATTTGCTTCCAGAACCCTAGCTGCAAAGGAATCTGGGAGATGAAGTTTTGTGTCTGGAGCCTCTCCAATGAGAATGAATGGACACGGATGGAGCAAACTCAGTCCCAGCACTCAGTTATCTTGTCTGTAGAAGGGAGATGCTATGTTACCTACCTCAAGGGGCTAGTGGGAGAATTAGATGAGAATGAATATATACCTGGCAATACTAAAAACTAAAAAAGTAGCCATTATAAAATCATCTAATTACTTAAAATTTCACACCTGTTTGCTACATTCATTATGCTACCTTTCTCCAAAATAATTGATTAAGGATTGATAAGCTTAGTTAAGATGGCTTTTTCTATATAATATAGGATTGGCCAAAAAGTTTAGTTTTAAAGTACAAATAAAGACACATTTTTCATTTTCACCAGTAACTTTATTAAACGACACAATTTACCATTTTGTTCCACTACTTTCTGCCATCTTTCAGGCAACTTTATAATTCCATCTTTCCAAAACTTTTTATCTTTTTGAGCAAAGAACTCTTTCAGGTGCCTTTTGCAGTCTTCCAGGGAATTGAATTTTTTCCCATTAAGAGAGTTTTATTTATTTTTATTTTTTATTTTTAAAGATTTTATTTATTTATCTTTAGAGGGGAAGGGAAGGAGAGAGGGAGAGAAACATCAGTGTATAGTTGCCTTTCATGCCTTTCATTGTCTGGTTCGCAGGCCCGCGCTCAATCCACTGAGCTACACCAGCCAGGGCAAGAGAGTTTTATTATAAAGACTGAAATAAATGGAAACCTGAAGGTGTGATGTCTGGTGAATATGGCATATGAATCAGCTTTCCAGCCGACCTGTAATAATTTTTGCTTGGTCATCAGACACCTGCGGCCTTGTGTCATCCTGATGGAAGATTATGTGTCTCCTGTTGACTAACTCCAGATGCTTTCCTTCAAGTGCTGCTTTCAGTTGGTCTAATTGGGAGCAGTACTTGTTGGAATTAATCTTTTTGTTTTCTGGAAGGAGCTCATAATAGAGGACTCCCTTCCAGTCCCACCATACACATAACAGCACTTTCTTTGGATGAAGACCAGCCTTTGGTTGGTGGTGGTTCATTTCACTTTCCCCACAATCTCTTCCCTTCCACACTATCTTCAGGTATCTACTTATCATTGCCCATCACAGTCTATTTTAAAAACACAATGCTTTCATTACATTCATGTAGAGAAAATACAGTCAAGATTTTTTTTTAATTTCTCTGATTCTGTTCCTGTTCTGTTTTTTTGCTTAGTTTTTGTTTTTATTGTTTTTCTTTTAGGTTCATTTGTTGATAGTTGTGAGTTTGTTGTCATTTTATTGTTCATATTTTTGATCTTCTTTTTCTTTTTTTAAAATATATTTTATTGACTATGCCATTACAGTTGTCCCATTTCCCCCCTTCGTTTCCCTCCACCCTGCACACCCTCTCCCCCCACATTTCCCCCCTTTAGTTCATGTCCATGTGTCACAAGTTAGCCTCTACATTTCCCACACTATTCTTGCCCTCCCCCTGTTTTCTTCCCACCATCTATGCTACATATTCTCTGTACCTTCTCCCCCCTTCTCCTTTTCCAACTCCTCTGTTGCTAACCCTCCATGTGATCTCCATTTCTATGGTTCTGCTCCTGATCTAGCTGTCCTCTTAGTTTGCTTTTGTGTTAGGTGTGGTTGTTTTTATCTTCTTTTTCTTAGATAAGTCCCTTTAACATTTCATATAATAAGGGCTTGGTGATGATGAACTCCTTGAACTTGACCCTATCTGAGAAGCACTTTATCTGCCCTTCCATTCTAAATGAAAGCTTTGCTGGATAGAGCAATCTTGGTTGTAGGTCTTTGGATTTCATGACTGGGAATACTTCTTTCCAGCCCCTTCTTGCCTGTAAGGTCTCTTTTGAGAAATTAGCTGACAGTCTAATGGGAAGTTCTTTGTAGGAAACTGTCCCCTTATCTCTTGCTGCTTCTAGGATTCTCTCCTTCATTTTTATCTTGGGTAATGTAATTATGATGTGCCTTCGTGTGTTCCTCCTTGTGTTCACCTTCTTTGGGACTCTCAGAGCTTCCTGAACTTCCTGGAAGTCTATTTTCTTTGCCAGATTGGGGAAGTTCTCCTTTATTATTTGTTCAAATAAATTTTCCACTCAAGGCTGTTTCTGTTCCCCTTCTGGTACCTCTATAATTCAGATGTTGGAATGTTTAAAGATGTCCCGAAGGTTCCTAAGCCTCTCCTAATTTTTCTGAATTCTTGTTTCTTCATCCTTTTCTGTTTGGTCATTTTTTTCCTCTTTCTGGTCCACTCCTTTGATTTGAGTCCCAGTTTTGTTTCCATCATTATTAGTTCCCTGTGCATTTTTCTTCATTTCACTTAGTGTAGCCTTCATTTTTTCATCTAATTTGCAACTAAAATCAACCAGTTCTGTGAGCATCCTGATTACCAGTGTTTTGAACTGTGCATCTGATAGGTTGGCTATCTCTTTGTCATTTAGAATTATTGGCTCTGGGGCTTTGAGCTGTTCTTCTGCTTGAGCCATAATGTTTTGGTCTGTTCATGCTTGTTACATATGAGAGGAAGGTCAACCCAGGTCGCTGGGTTGTGACTGGGGGCGGGGTCAGAGAGGGAGCAATGGCGTTTGTTCTACTCTCTCTCTGGGATTTCAGTCCCCTCTGCCACTTCCCACAAGCAAGTTGGGCCCTTCTTGTGCTGATTCCTGGGTGAGTGGGCTTGTGTACATTCTAGGACCCTTGAGTCTCCCCAACGAACTCTCCCATGAGGCTGGGTGCCTCTTCTGGTACCTAAACCCCCAAAAGTTTCTCCAATTGGTGCTTTTAGGCTTTATTTCCTGTTGCTGGGGCCCTGGGTTGTGGGGTCTGTCTCACTGACCATTTTTAAATCTGCCTGGTTTATCCGCATGTGAATGTGTGTCTGTGGTCACCCAGCTGTCTTACACACCTCACTGGGTTTGTTTGTTTTCTCCCCGTGCCCATGTCTGCCAACCACCACCTTTTCCTTCCGAGACCCCTATCCACTGGCCTCCAACTCTGCCGCTCTTACTGGTCTGGGTGAATGGTTCATTGTTTTTGGACTTCGGTACAGTTCAATTTTCTGTCTGTTTTGGTTGTGTTTTTGTTCCTACATCTTTGTTGTCTTTAAATTTGATTGTGCGAGGAGGTACTGTATTTCCACCTATGCCTCCATCTTGGCCAGAAGTCCTGATCTTCTTTTTCTTAGATAAGTCCCTTTAACATTTCATATAATAAGGGCTTTTTGATGATGAACTCTTTTAATTTGACCCTACCTGGGAAGTACTTTATCTGCCCTTCCATTCACAGAGGGAGTTCAGTGGGGGGGAGGGCAGGGGGGAGTGAGGAATGGCAGGGGAAAGGTACGGGGAAGAAGAAGCATAATTAGTAGGCATGAAATAGATGGGGAGAGATAAAAAATGGTCTAGGAAACAGAAGACTCAAAGAACTTATA